TTTAAAAAAGTAAATCTATAGATGCATTTGCTTCTTAGTTAAACAGTAAATAAAATAATTTCAGTAACTGAGGAGCAGCTTCGAAAGCTATGAGAATTGCACTGGTTCAGGCTGGAAAAGAGAAGCTTTCAGGTGACCTAATTGCAGCCTTCCAGTGTCTGAAGGGAGCCTGTAAGAAAGGTGGAGAGAGACTTTTTGATGAACATATAGGGACAGGACAAGGGTGGATGGTTTCAAATTAAAAGAAAGTAGATTAGATAGTAGAAAGAAAATTCTTCCCTGTGAGGGTGCTGAGGCACTGGCACAGGTTGCCCGGAGCAACTGTGGCTGCCCCATCCCTGGGAGTGTTCCAGGCCAGGTTGGACAGGGTTTGGAGCACCCTGGGGTACTGCAAGGTGTCCCTGCCCAGGGTAGGGAGGGTTGGAACTAGATGATCTTTAAGCTCCCTTCCAACCCAGGCCATTCTATGATTTTCCTTTATGTGAGAATTTTAACAGTGGGTTTTACTTGACTTTTTTATTCCCTAGCAGGTGTCTTTTTTTAAGTATGACAAACTTTTGCACACTTTTTCATTTTGACATCAGTTTTGAAACTTTATGCTCTTAGATTTGCACTGAAATTGGCTTATTATAATCACCTTAGGTCCCGGTCTTGCAAATATTTGCATACGTGCTTAATGTCAAGAATGTGAGAAGCCCTATTAATCATGTAGAGAGATCTCCAGACACCTCTGATGACTGGGGGCATGTGTTAAAACATCAAGTTATCCATCATTCAGTTTTTTAACAAAGCTGTGGAACTAATGTGTTATTTGAAAAAAACAATATTCTGGGCTCTCAAATCCCAGAGGCACAACAACTCAATTTCTTTTCTCTCCCAGTTTTTAAAGGGTGCAAGTGCAAAGCCAGTGATGTTGCTTCCAATGGAAGCAGCAGCCAAGACACTTCAAACAGAGTTGGGCACCTTTGTTCATATTATTATTTTCTCCATTTTTATTCAATTATATAAGAATACTTTAAAAGGGAAGAAAATTATAATTTAGAATTGAGAACTGACCTTTTTTACTTGTTAATTCATTAAGCCTCAAGATGAGGGAATGGTCATAAGCTGAGACAGGGCAGACTCCAGTAAGAAGTTAGGAAAACTTTTTTTCATTGCTAGGGTGTTCAGGCACTAGAATATTGTCCAGGGAGGTGATGGAGTCAGCATTCCTAGAAGTGTCTTAAGAGGTGTCTGGGTCTGATGCTGGAGGATGTGATTTATGGGTTACAGCAGTGGCAGGTTAATATGGTTGGACTTGTTGATCTGAGAGGTCTTCTCCAACCTTGATGATTCTATGCTTCTTAAAATGAGTAATATTTATATCTCTGATGGTTTGTTCTGTGTCTGTTTTCTTCAGAATTGCTGAAGTTAGAGCAATTGCTAACAAATGACTCATGGACATTAAAGGTTTAAAGCCTGTTATCTGAAAGCAATAAGCCTCAGCTACCATGTATTTCAGCTGGATTTGCAAGTGCTCAGCTGGACTTCTAAGACCATAGGTTTGTGTGGAATATATATAAACCTAGTCAGTCTTAGCAGAGAGGTGACACAAGCACCCAAGCTATCTCCTCAGTGGTGTTCTTCTTTAATCTCAACATCCTAAAGTTTGAAAACCTTTTTTCAGTTGAAGTGTTCTGAAGACAGATCTGAAATTATGGTTTATGATGGGAGAATTTTTATTTTTCCAGCCAAACTTGGCTAAAAGAAGTTAACTCATTTTCATTTAACAGAAAATCAATGAGTGTTGAAGATGTAATATACTAACCTTTCAGTATTATTTCATGGAGTGCAATCCAACAAAAAATGAGTTCTCAATCAGCCAAAATGCTGACTGAATCAGCTGTGAACCAGCACCAGCTGAACATTACCTTAAAAGCTGTATAAACCCATGTGCACAGGAAATGGCCTTGTAGAGAGAAATCGGGCAAAACATCCCATAAACCACATTCACCTGGAAACTGACATTTTCACAGTGTGCAACTGGACTCAGTGATCCAACCTGAGCAATTCTGTAACTGCAATTAGTGCAGCAAGTGTTCATCCATCTGGGGTAAAACAAATTAGCACTGGCTATGTTTGTCTTCATTCAGTCTTTCATGTCTCGTTTCTCTTAGTTGGGAAAAGAAAAACAGCCATAATCACATTTCAGGCTAACACTCTGCTGACCCATGACACAGGCAAATGCAGAGGATTAGGAACATTTTCCCTGGTTGCTCAGGCAACAGTGAGATGTGGGAATATGAAAAGCTATTACCATCCTTTGTACAGTGTCTCACTGGATGTTCCCAGATGTGTTTATAATTTTCTATGTTTTTGTTCTCTCCCATTATCACATACTTAAACCATGCAAATTATTTGTTTAGTTTGCTACCTAGAATGTGAAAATGTTAAATATGAAAACAGATAATCTTTCTTTTTCCTACAGGAAAGTACAGTTTTCTAAGAGGGTGTAGAAATTTCAAAACTGTACTGAAAAGTTTCTAGGTGGCATGGGAACTCTTGTCTGTCTTAAAAAAATCCTGGTAATTTTGTGATGTCTCTTTTAGCTAAAAAGCAGTTATTACTTCAGCTGCTTTTTCTTTCACACTTACATGTGCAAGCACCTAATAGATAGGTCCCATAACTTCATGCAACTTCACAGACCTAATTAGCTGTCAAAAAAAACCTTAGAAAGATTGCTTGAGGGCTTCACTTTCCAAATTAAAAGTGTTGAGAACTCAGAAATTAATGCAGGAATAGCAAGTAAACAGTATTTCAAGTTAAACGTCTATGTTCTGTGAGACACGCACAAAATTTCTGTCCATATATTCATATAGATTTGTATCATACATCCTTAATGTAAACATCAAACATTTCTGGCTGGCCTAAGATATGGAATTTTGGGTCACTTAATGGCTTAGTGATTTTTATCGCCTATTTTGTATTTTTAAATATACAAACTATGTAGGGGGAAAAATAACCTTAATGAAAGGAATATCCATCAATTATGTGTCAGTGCAGGGCATCTAACAGGTGCCTCTGTGTGAGGTAAATTCTTCTTTGACTAACAGTGTCTGTCAGGGTCACCCACCCTCTTGTTTCTTGTGTTAATTTGAAAGTATTTCAGCCTTGGCCTGAGACACTGGCTCTGTCAAGCATGTGTTTTTCAAACTCCTTTCATGAAATGTCAATATAATTCTCCCCTCTCCCCGCAGTAGCTTGCTCCTCTCCATTGAAATGTGTCCCCAGGTGTAATACAAGCACTGGGACGGTTGGTCTTTACAGACAGCCACTATCTTTCCACTCCTGACTTGCCACATTTCCTGCTATTTTCAGTTCCTGGCTGGTATGTATATATATATATTCAGCAGAAAGGAAGGGACTTGATATAACTCTTAGCCTGAAAGAGACCATATGTGTGATCTCTAAAACAAGCAAAATTCAAATTTGCTCTCACTAATAGCCAAACCTATGTACCCTGCTCGGTTGTGTTCACAGTTGTTCTTCTTACACCCGTTTGTGTCAGAAGTCCCCAGTGCCTCTTCATGCTTGTCCTCAGACAGACAAGGATGGTTTCTTAATCTCAAAATGGGGTTCTTCAAGATGGAGTGAGCAGGACACTACTGCATGTCCTCCAGCCCAGCTCTTTGGAGTACCTCATAACAAAAATAGTGAATTTCAAGGGAACTGAGGGAACATCACAACAGTTCTGTGCTCACTGACCCTACCTAAGAGAGGAGTGAGGCAAAGGGCTTGTATGTGTCCCAGAGAGATAGGAGCCAAGAGAAACCACATCTCATCAGCATGGACCATCTGTGCCACTGCAACAGGATAACATTAACACCATCATATCAAAAAGCTGCAGTCACTGGAGGCTTCTGAGTGCTGCATGGCATGGGCTGTAACAGAGAGACAGCCATGGAACATGACATCACTCTGGGCAGTTCCCAGTAGAGAAGAGAGAGCAGAAAATTCTGGTAATGCAGTTTTCCCTTACTTAAGGTGTGTACAGGAAAACTGAACATTACTTAAGAACAAAATTAAAAAGGACTGAAGCACACAACCTGGCTAAACCAATCCAAAGGAGATCAGCAGCTACAGAAGGTGGGGAGCATTGAGAAACACTGTATGTATTTCTGAGTTCACATACCTTCTCAACAAATACTTTTCTCTAGTGCTGGGGACTATGTGCTCTGAGCTCTAATACAGAGAAGACACTTGTCTATTGGCACACATCCCTTGGGGTGGACTTTAGAATGACTGGCTGAACCTGACTGATCGTCATAGGGAAGAAGGTACTGCAGTTCAAAGGTGTTATCACAACTAGAAGCTGTGCTTGCCTAGCACTGAACTATCTAGTGACTGTATTGATAAGCCATGGATCTGCAGATACACCAGTTTCAGCACAGGCTGAAAAACTTCCTGTAGATCCATGTTCAAAGTAACTTCTGCAGCTCCTTGGGATATCCAGTCTATCAATGTGGGAAGTGGCCTTGAACTCCCAGCCAGGCTGTGTTTGCAGCTAGCAGTGGGGAAAAAAGAGCACTGATCAAAACCCAGGGAATGAAATGGGGGGTGGGGGCTGGGATGACAGTGGCTCTCTGTGGGGAAACACTTGAGCAGAGTTGTGTGTATAGCATGAGTCTGGAGCTGCTCTGAACGCAGACCGATGCCACGGTGGCCCGAAGCAGGCACCATCCCGGCAGCCTTGCTGTGCTGGATGCTGTGGCTGCTCGGGGCAAGGGGGGGCATAGTCAGAGCTAGACTGGATAAAGTCTTATTACATTGAATTTCACTATTTCTGATCATTTTGCTTGGGATTCACTTGCCAATTTTACCTTTTTCTTTACCTTGTCCATAATTAATGTGCTAAACCCTGTGCTTGAAAAGAAAAATGGGAAAGAATGAAACCCCTTCTCTCTCAAGTGGACAAATATGGGGAAAAAATAAGAAATACCTGGTAAAACTCTCCCACTTAGAGTTTTAACAAGAATATAGATATATCTTTTGTGTTGAAAACTGTCTGGGGTACTTCCCCTTTAGTAGAACAAAGTCCAATGCCCACAGCAGTGTCATCCTTCTGTTGGCCACAGAGAAGTCCCACAGGCCGGGCGACGCGCAGCACCAAAGCAGCGTGGAATGAATCCCATCTGTCAGCAAGAAGTGAAGCCCAGCCACAGCCACACCAGTCACTATAAGGACATCCCACTTTGCTTCTTTGAGTCCTTTCGTGCAATGGGACTGAAGGACAAGATCTCCTTGTAAATGTGCTCTTGAAAAGCAGAACAAAATAACTATGAATTTAGAGGACACAAATGAAAGTTTGAATGCTATACATACAGAGAGGAGGTATTCAGTGGCAGGTACCAGCTAGAAGAGACAAAGCAGAGAGACAAAGTTTGCCTGCAGAGCTGGAGGGATCTTTGCCTGAATGCATAAAAGCAAGAGCAAGGCAAGAGATATGTGCACTACCATTGAAGCATCAGCAGGCAATCCCAGCTTTACTCAGCATGTGCACAGGAGAGTGGTAGGAAAGTCCCATGCCAGACAGGAGCCTCAAAGAAAACAAACTTCTTACTTTTCCACTCATCTATTGAAAGCTTTTCATGTTCCAGAGAATCATCATAGGACTGTTGTGCTTCTGTTTCCTCCTCAATGTCTCGGAATTGGTCGAAATAGGGGTGAGCTAATGCCTCCGTTGCTGTGAGACGCTTTCCCACATCGAGCTGCAACATCCTGTCAAGCAGGTCCACTGCTGTAGGAGAAGATGGGAACAGGGCTAAGCAAGGTGCAGTGGAGAGTATGCATCCTGTGCATGAACCCTGCAAGTGATAGGACCAGTATTTCCAGTACTACGTCTCCAGACCTGAAAATGAAAGAGATTCCTAATCCTGTCAAGGCAGCAAGGAGCTCCTAGCAGTGGAGGTGCAAAGTCTGCCAACAGCAGCCTCGGGGAGCTCTTACTAACAGAACTGGAGGTATAAATTGTGCAGAAATAGCAAGTTACACTTGAATAAGCTTTGCTGCACCGAGGGGGCTGCAGGAACATGAAGAGCAAACCAGTAACTTCAAGATATTTTTTCAGTTTTAATCATTTGCTTTCACTCAGAGGCCCACATCTCAAAGTAACCTTAAAATGAGTAATCTGTATAAAAATCTAGACCTCCCTGGTAAACAGGAGGACAGGAAACTCAGATACCAGCTAGTCTGTCAGCCCCATTCCCACTTGGTTTTAACCTTTTAATGCTTTCCTCCTTTTAGTTTTTAGAAGAGCTTTGCTTGATCTCACCTCTGACCTACTTGGGAAGAGAGCTCTTTGTATGAGAATGATTTTTACCCTGAAAATTGCACATCTCATCTGTCTGTTAAGAGCTGCTATATCCAGGTATTCAACAAGCAGGATCTGCACACACCCCCCAAAAAAAAAAAAAAAAAAAAAAAAAAAAAGTACTGGAGTGGACCATGGAGCTCTTGTAGCACTTTATCAAAACCCATGATGCCTTAGATGATAGGCTGGGTAATAATAATCATCAAAGAAGAGCTGTTTTGTTTATCTAAATGCTACTGATTAAATAATCACCTCCTTGGCTGCAGACAATAACTTCAGGAAGCTAATATCAGCCAAACTTCATCCCAACTAACTCTCATACCAGTTGGAACAGTTACATGCAACTGTCCTAATCCTATAATTTGCATCTCAGAACCAAGACATCCCGTTATATCCAGCACCTTCTTTCTTCTGGCTTGTTGATACAAGAGTCAAAAGCTTTTCTCTTCCATAAATATTGTTTGCTACAGGCTGTGCAATTTTAAAATTAAAAATTAGTAAGAAATGGGCAAGAACAGCAGAACATCACCACTGTAATGCCAATAAAGAACCATTTTGCTTACAAGTCCTACATATTTGCTCTGGGGAGGGGCAGGGGCACAACCCGCAAGGGAAAAAAGTAGGAAGAAATTATGACAAAAAGGATAAGTAGAATTAGAGCTGTGACAGTCAACTTGCCTCCTCTGCAGCTGTGAGAACTCATGAGAAATGCTGGAGATGACTTACCCTGAGGATTTGCTTTAGGGAAAAGCACAGACAAATCCTTCTTGGGGATTTTGGGAAGGGACTTGATATAACTCTTAGCCTGGAAGAGAAAGGAAAGCACAATTACTGCACATGAACAAGTGTGAGGGGGTGTGAAACACAGCTCTCAGGTCTCATGGCTCCAGTGAGCAAAGGCAAATGGAGAGAACAGCAAATCACCCCAATGTCACATTGCAGGGAGCAGTTGGCAAGGAACTTTTTTTATCAATTGAAATATAGAAATATTTATACTTTGAGAGCCAAACTGGAGAACAGAGAAGGTTGGTGGTTTGCTGGGGCACCAGGCATCTCTCACAGGGGTTCCTGCAATCCACGCCAGTTCCCAACACAACACCAGGTCCATCAGATGTGCCACTAGGAAAATGTCTTCCATGCCAAGGGGAAAAGACTGCGGTTGCACCTCTTCACTGCTGCTGTAGAGCAGCACCTCTCCCATCTCACACACACAGCCAAGCTAACCTCTCCCCCCTACACCTCTGCCACCGGGACCCAAATCCGCAGTCAACTTTCTTACCGCTTTGTCCTCCAGCTTCTCCACAAAGTCGTCTCCTGGATGCCCCGTTACTTTCAGGATCTGAGTCAGCTGATCCAGGTCTGGCAAGCTGTGTCAAAGATCACCTGTCAAGGAGTGAGCCCTGGACATCACCCCCAACCCCCAGCTCAGCCTGCGGGAGCTACAAGTATATTATAATACAAACCCAACAGAGTCACACAAGTAGAGATTCTAGGCTAGCAAAAAGAGCTACAAGCCTTTTTTCCTGGCACAGCTCTGCCAGGGCACATGCACATGGGCTCCAGGGGTGATGCAGGGGGTTGCGGATGGAGCTATGGCCGCGCAAAGTTGAACTGCTGATATAGGGCACACGTGGCCAGCACAGAGCTGTATTTCTAAGGTCCCCTCTTATGTTATGTTTTCCTCACCAAAAAGACTGGTCCCTGCAATTACCTCCTGGTAAACCAGCCTGACACCTATTTTTCTCAGCATCCTCATTCGTAAATGCTCATTCACACACACCAAGAATTATTGCTCCCTCCAGGTAAAAGGTTCAGCTTAAAAGGATACAGTCTTTTCCTTTAAAAAGTGTTTTCCCAGTCAGCATTTCTGCCATGATACAACCAATAGACCAGATATCCACTGTTCAGAGACAAAAAGCAGAAGGGGGGGTGGAGAAGGAAAAAACCAAAAGGACAGTACAAAAGCAGCAATGATTGCTAAGGCTGTCACTAGCGCTGCTGCTTGCAGCAGGCACTGATTTAAATTTCACTCCCACCCTCCTCTGTTCTTTCTATGTTGCTAAAATCTCTGCTTTTGTCATTTCCTGCAAGCATTAGCTTTGGAGGCCGTGCAACACTTTTGGGACCTGTTCCGCTCCAGGGAACACTGATGACAGGAAAACATCTGGAGGATTACATGTGATTTCACCAAGCAAGATCCCCAGGCTGATCAGCAGATAGTCACACTGCTGAGGGAAGGCCACCCACCTGTCTGGTTGTAATGCATCCAGTTCAGAATTACTTCTGGGGCTCTGTACCACCGTGTGACCACGTAGCCAGTCATTTCAGCATCAGCATGTCTGGCTAAGCCAAAATCCAAGATCTGCAGTTCACCAAAGGAAGAAGAAGAAGAAGGAAGGGCAGGAAAGAAAACGGAAATCCTATGGGCAAGTGAAACTCTACTTCTAAGAGAAAATGAAGCAGGTCCAATCAGATAAGATCAAAGCTCCAACTAGACCACAGCCACCAATGGGACAGTTTAAGAATTAACACATTTGTCTTAATTCCACTGTAAATTGCAAGCCAGCTGCAAAAACAGCTGTTGTGAGAAGACCCTGCTGAAAGGATCAGTACTGGGTGCTACCCAGAAGGTCACTTCCTTTCTTGAAGCTTAAGTTTCAAGTCTGTGTGCTTTATTTGTGTTGTTCTTTGACCTGGTGGTGAAGGCATGCTCCCAGGCCACCACGACTCATTCTTTCCTGTAAGCCTTGCAACTGACAGAGGGTGGCCTCTCCCTCAATACTGAAGATAAACAAGCCTGACGCGACCTTTAAGGGCAATGGGGCCACTCCCTGTAATATACATTACAGAGAACACATGCTAGAGAACCACACCAGTGAGCTGCGAGTAAACCCTTCAGAGCAATACTGGAAATAACTTTGTCTAGAATCATAACCATAATGTCAATGACAACCAAAGGGCAACTGCCCTCGAATCCAGTTGCCCTTCAGGGATTGTTCACCTAATGCAAGTATTGCTCAGCAGTATTGAATTTATCTAGGAAGTCATTACAAACTGTCATGCCGCAGGAATTACAGTGACAGGATGTTCATTTGAAGTCCTGGGCCCTGATTCAGCAAGTTACATCAGCAGGTGGGTATTTCCCACTGTCTGCAGCTGCCAAGTAACAAAACATCTTGGATTGAGCCTTAGAGGAAACATGACAGTGCCAAGTTCCTGCTGGCAGAGCAGTTCCTCCATGATCTGATATGCTACATGCTACAAAGTGGTGGTTTTCCACCTACTTTTAGTTGACAGTCTTCGTTCACAGCCAGGTTACTTGGCTTCAGGTCCTACAACAGACAAGCAGAATAATAAGGATGTTTCAACTTGCAGCACATCAACACAAGCCTCAGTTCAACCTCTGCTCATCTTTGATGGGGTCTCATAACATCCCAAGTCCGGTATCAATTCAGCAAAGACACCATACCTGCTATACTGTACAGCTTTACTTTTTTTTTTTTAAATAGTTTTAATTCAAAAAGCATCCTAACATGCTTCTCAGCTTGTCAGAAAATACAGCATTTCCTCAAAATGCTGCACAAATGAGCAAATTCCAACACAGACAGGGTGTGGGACAGAAATGAGACCTTAGAGTAGGCAACACTATTAGTGAAACAATGTTTAGGAATGTATTAACTTTATGACCATGGTGTGTTTCTCAAACAAGCAAAAATCAGAGTAAGAGCACACATGAACTTACCCTGTGGACGATGCCAGCTGAATGAATATACTGCAATAAAAAGAGGAACTACAATGTGATCACCAGCAGACAACTTTTGTTCTCCAGCAAAGAAACAGGAGCTACAAACAAGAACTTGCTGGGAACACAACTCTGCAGCCTGCTGCAAGGTCCCTGACCCCCAGGGCAGCAGCTTGAAAAAAATTCTCTGCCCTGAATTTCTAGTAGTATTTGCAATGTTACTGCCAATCTAAAGAAGTTGCATAGAGCAGAAGAGGAAGGATGAAGCAATAGTTCCTTAAAGCAACTACAGTAATGGTTTCAAACTATCAAAGGCATTGAGGTTATGGCAGACAACATGAAAACTTGGTATTTTGGGTGTTCAACAAAATAATCTCAGCATGAAAACATAAAATTGCAAAACCTGACTATATAGCTTTTGGCACATCAGTTAAACCTTCTGTGTGTCCTCCCCCCCTTTCTTTAAAGTCAAGATAACAGTGATCTGGGGAAATAAGCTATTAAGGTGAACTCATTCATGCTATAAGCCACTCTCTGACTCCAGGTGAAGTGTGTTAGAGGGCTGCAGTAAGACACTGTCTCTATATCCTGGGGTTTGCAGTGTTTCCTTTCCGCTCTCTCTGAGCCAGTTAAAGAAGCATATTCCTTCCTTATTCTATTGAATAGAAAATCATTCCCTCTGTCTTCTCCCCTGAGAGTCTGTATTATGACTTCAGCAGAAGCCCCTGTTGCTGCCAGTCTCTGACTCTCTGTATAGAGTTTTGCTAAGGGTTTTGGCAAGTCAATGAGCGATGCAACTGCTGTCATGGAAAAACCATTGCAAGGTCTGTGGCTGCTGATTGCTATGATACCCAGCTGACTGATGTGAACAAGCTGTCACTTTATTGATGTGTGCTGGAACAAAAGCAGTTCAACAGCCAATATCTGTTCTTAGGGGATGCCCTAACCCCCCTAAATCTTCCTATATAGTGTTGGAAGATACTTTACTTAGAGTCAATCCAGAGGTGACATATGCAGGACACATGGGGAATCACTAAACTCCTCCAGACCCACCTACCTTCAGCCCTTTCAGCATTTGATAGACCAGGTACTGGATCTTTTCATCAGTGAATTCATGTCCCATGATCTTTTGTAAATCTGTCCGCATGTATGGCATCACCAGGTAGCTAAAAGGCAGTAAGACAAGGCCCTGAGTCTAGAAGAAAAATGCAGGGGACCAGACTCATTCTCACTTGGGTTTGGGTTTTTTTTGGCTGTGTAATTTACTGTAAAAAAGATGAGTTGTTGTGATGGTCTTTCTGGCTAACTCGCACAGCCTGCAGTGATGCTGGGATTTCAACCTGCTCTGAAAACTGCTCTTTCTCCTCCCATTAAATAAATACCTGACGACAAGTAAGAACAAGGATCTTCAGGATCCTGAATTAGTTTACTTTAGACCTCAAGTGATGTTCATTTCTGGATAACCTTTCACCACGTGGGAGCTGAAACATCTTACACAGCAGAACTGCTGTGTTGGCTCCCAAATTTATCTTTGTAATGTTCTTCAGCCCTGCCTTAGACAGCAACATCTGCCTTTCTTCAGTATCTGCCTGCTGAGACTGCAAACTAGTTGTGATGAGTCTTCCTGCAGGAACTGCTCTGAGACCCTTCAAATGTTTTTCCTGCAGGCTGCTAAATACCCAGCCATCAGCCAAGTCCCCAAACCCAGGAATATGCTGCTCCCCACAACAGTGGGGAAAAGAAAACAACTCGTCCAACCTGATCATAAACACTGAGGGAAAATGCCTCCAAAAAACCCAACAACAAACAAAAAAGCAAACCAAAACCACCCAACTGGCCAGAATCAAGATGGAAAGAAAGCCAGATCTTTAAAATTCTCAGTTTAATTGCCCTGGGGCCTGATGAACAATACCTCTCCCATTTTGAGTGCAGCCTCTTAGCTCTGCAATCACACAGGCAGTGTTAGCATGGGTCACACTACATGTGATACGCCATGGAATGTACCACGTCTTTATTACATAGGCTGCTCTGTACATTCTGTGTTCTCCCAGCTGTGAGCGTGGCACGGGATCTGTTTGTGTATTCTGGGCGTTTTAGCCATGGGAACTGATGTGTGCTTTTGATTCTCTGTGTTATTTGGGGATGTCTGGCCCCTTTGCACCTCAACCTGATCTGTTATCCTGCTGCTAAGACACAGGTGACTTGGGCAATGGCAGAGTCTAGACAGAGCAAACAACTCCAAACTTACAAGTCCTGGAACCCCTGGTAGGAGGAGGTGGAGGTGAAGACATCAAGCAGCCCAATGACCTGATGGTAGAGACAAGTCCACATTTAAACCTGGAAAGCATTTGCTATGCACATGGCACTCAGGTAGCAGTTGTCCGTGGCACGTGCACATGGACAACCACAGAGAACTCCATCTGAGGAATTCAAGGACTCTTCACTGATGTCAATGTTTTTCCTCTTATTAATACATGGCAGCACACATTACACGTCAGATTTAGCCTGGTGCCAACTGGGCACAGCAGACAGGTAGCAGTTAAATTACAAGACTATGGGTACATGCCAAATGTTGGGACCTCGCAATTAAAGGTGGTGTCACCAGAAAGAACTTGCT